AGGAAAACAAAAATCAAATCGATGTTAAACTATCAAAAGGTGGTATGAGAGAGGATGAAGGACCATCTGTGATGAGTGAAACTGAATTGGTAACTGATGGCCTTCAAGTTTTACTCTTCGATTCATTAGACAACGATCAGGAGAACGTGGATTTGTTATCAAAATTGTCTCGGGTGATGGAATCGACTTGCGTGAATCCTGAAGATATATCAAGAATCGGTGATTGGATAATTAAAAAAGGAAACGTTGCTGAGAAGTACAATAATAAGAGTAAAGCGCTTATGAAAAGGGTGAAGAAGATTTTAAATGAGAATTACCACTTAAGAAAAAATATCCAGAAATTGAAGAAGAGGGCTGATGTTCTGCAGAATGAAATAAACACTCATCCAATAAAACAAGAAATCTTGGAGATGAGGAACGGAATTCAGGAATACAGATCGAAGTTGAAGAATTTGAGCGCCAGCTTTACGAAAATCGAAGGACAAATTCACAATTTACGGAAGGATACAAGCAAAGAGTATCAAAAAGGTCTTAAAATTGCGGAAGATACGAGTAAATTTGTGGACCAGTTAAGAACTGAAAATGAAAATATGGAGAATTTTACGGAAGATTTTAAAAATAATGCCTCCGATGTCAGAGATATATTGCTAGAGAGAATGGATTCATCTCAGAAATCTATTCAAAAACTAGATAAATTAAAAAATATATTTAGAGTTACTCTCGATGAAAACAAGAAGGAAATAAGTGAATTGAACGATGAATACGTACTACAGAATATTATATGCAACATCAGGAAAGATATAGAGGAATTAAAGCAAAATTTAAATACTTTTCGAATGAAAACGAAAGATTTAGAAGGGAAATCACGGATTACAATGGACAAAGTTCGAATTTTAGAACAGGAATCTGTTAAGCTCATTCATAATTTCCAGTTTATCTATGACAATTTGCCAAAACAAAGCATTCAGAAGGACGCCATTACTTCAACCATGCAAGAGATGTTCAACAAACTGAAGAACGAAAGACGAAACGTAGAAAGAACGGGAACGGAAATTAAGAAATTGGAATCGGAAATTCAATCAAAAATTAAAAGAGAGAAATGGAAAATCGTAGAAAAACCACAAAAATTACAGAATTTGCAACGGGATCAAGATATCTGGGATACAAAAATGAATCGAATATTCGAATTATTCGAGCAGATGGAAACTATGAAGGAAGACATCAGAGTTGAGGAAATTGAAAACATGCAAGAGAGGAAGGAATTTCTTAAACAATTCCATTATGAAGAGGAACAAGGACTGTATACTGAAGATAAGTTGGATATTACAAATCGAATGATATGCAGCGAAGTAACTGACTTGGGAGTTTGCACGATTAGTGAGCTCGATTCAGCAACAAAAGCGAATTTATTGAGGAAAGTAGACTTAGCAGAAACCAAAGAATTTCAGCAGAATATAAAGAATTCATTGCAAGTAGGATTTCGGGATATGAAATTTATTCCAGAATCGGATGAAAATTATCTATCCGGTACTTACGGAAAGCTTGCAACAAGCGAAGCTTTCAACATTTAATGTTGATGTAACGGAACATTCAATTTCTATCGTTTATAATAAATATAATACGATGAACGTAAATATTATTAGTTTTCTATTTTATGGTTCCTGCTATAATAAGGCTCCGCTGTACGCATCAAATCAGCTTGTTCAAAGGCTTGGAAGTGAAAATATAGTAGGCTTTGGGTCTTTCAAGTAATCGCCTAATATCAAATTACAACCGTTATTGCGTAGAATATTTGCAAGACAGCTATTGTTTGCTTCAAACACAGAACACTGGTAGTTGATCGGGAATTTGCTCCTCAACAACAGGCTGGCATGTGAAGTTTTCCTTTTATTTTATATTATTTCACGTTCCTAACACACAAATAAGGGCTAGTTTAACTAGAAGACCTTTCAGTAGGAACTCCTTTTTTGGCACATGGTTCTTGCGTTGTTCCATTAATCCTATATTCCTACTATTGTTTACTTACTCACCTAAGCATTTTCCTCGAATTATCAAAACATATGGGGTTGCTTATATAGAGTTAATTTTATAGTAGTTGATCGTGACATCGTCAGATACAACGACCATAAGGCATGAAATACCATTGCTTTCCCCTATTAGTTCGTTATATCGAGGATCAGCTGAAATGAATTTAATTACTATCAAAGTTTAAACTTTCACTTTTAAACAGTAAGTTATAAAATAAAAATATCCAGTAACGAGTTGCGTAACTTTCCCGGCTGTTATGAATTTTATTTTAAAAATACTTCGAACGCAAAATCGGACAAATATTTGCCTTGGAGTCCGAACGATGCTTCGAAGTTCGGACTGCCGGGTGATATGCACGACATGCTTTTTATCCGAACACATTACAACTGTTATAATTAAATCATGCATCTATAATAATATGCCGAAGTCAATAGTATGAGACAAAAACATGCCATTTTCATTTTATTATACAGTATTTATTTTATTTATGGTTTTTGTGTTTTAATTTATTATTATTATTATTCGTGCATTTAATTCTGTTATTTTTACCGATAAATTATGTGAATTTTCTGTTTTAAATTTATCGAAATGTTCGGGGTCTGGTAAGGAATTAATTCGCTTTCTTTAATGGGAAAAATTCATTCGAACTTTGAACAACTGTTCGAACGACGACCACCCAAAATGAATTAAATTCGAAGGACGAGGCACCATTGTATATTATTGTATGTGATTCTGTTATCCGATTTTGTTTGTGAACGCGACAGGCGTAACTACTGACTATACTGGCATTTAAAGAAAAATAGATCTTTCACTCACCGTTCACATATTTCTAATTCCTTAACTCCAATTTCTTCCGTAAATAACATGGTTCGGGTGATTCTTTAGTAAATTCATCCTTTTCCATCGTAGAAACTTTTTCCGCATTACAGTATTAACACACGTCTACATTCTTCAACATTTTCGGATTTATTGTAACTTACTTTTGGGGTTGAGGTACAATTTCTAGCTCTCTTCAAACTGAAACACGTCCCGCTCCTGGATAAACCTTACTCGTATACTAAACAAACAGGTCGAAACGTTCTCCTGGTCTTTTTTTCCTTTTGCTCACATCAATCTCGACAATTCTTTCCAGGTCCACCAATTTTCATTCGAGGCAAATTAGTTTATGAAACCATCATAATGTGTAGTATGAAATTCGCCCAGTCAACAGCTGTTCGACCACTCACGCCCACAACCGATCAGCTCAAGCTGAACGTGCTGTACATTCTATGCAAATTAGATGCCAAATAAACAAAAAATTCCCCAAGAAATTTTCCCAAATTATATTTAAATGTTGCTAAAAATAACGAACTGTTCCTCTTTCATTTATGATATCTAAAAGAAACAGAATTCACAATCCTTTCGATAAATTAATTTATCATGGCCATCACATTTCGTACAATCTACATGGAGAGTCAGTCAGCTGTAAACATTGGTTAAGGGCAAGAAAACGTAGTGAAGAATTTTATAGTTAAGCCTGCATATAATACATTATTAATATGGGATGTTTTCGGGATTCCCGAGAACTCTCTGAATCAGGAAGAAAAGGGAATGATGAGAATTATATACATGATTAGAGGATGATGAGTTAGAGGTTGATAAAATAGGTATCAGAACCGTACACAGTATTAAGTGTACTTTAGAGCATAACGCAAGCAGCAGTATATCTAGTGACTCTGCCTGGAGTAATTCCGAGTATCTCGTTCAAAAGAAAATTGTTTTATTAGGTAATGTGCAAAATTTCAAGATTTTCAATAAAGCGGGTGCCAAAATAGCTGTATTTTCTTCTCCTTTATCTGACACTGCAGACGCCTTTCTCCTTATCTGTGAGGTGCTCACAAAACTTCTGGGTCGATAGGTTTCTTTAGAGCTAATTCAGTTTTACAGCTTAATTTTATGAAAAACTCCTGAAACAAATTTTGACCGTCGTCTAAATTGTCATGAATTTTTACTTGGTGAACTTCTTTTACATCTCACTTCTCAGATGTTTTTATTTGGATCTTATATACAATAAGCACTGTTTTGATGATAGTTAAAGTAGATCAATGAAAAAAACAGAAGTTTGACTCGCTCCCGTTTGCTGTATTTTCGCTAAATTTGTGTGCAACTGACAAAAAATTATTCTCTCGGGGAAAAATAATAATAATCGATGAAATGCTTCCAGGTTTTCGTCGATATATCCCGTGAAAATCGGCTAAATACGAAATTAAAATTTGCGCGGTTTCAAATTCTGGTCACTCATCACTTCTTACCTACCGGTTCAGTGGGACACACTTGATGTGCACCGTTTGTTCATATATACTTTACGAATCCTTTCTATGTAATTGCTTCTCATGAGTATCCGATGAAGCCTGTTCATTATGATTCTGTAATAAATCTTTTGACAGTCAGTGTATTAGAAAACTGACCAATAGGAGGTTTCATCAAATTTCCACATAGATATACTATTGTGTAGAGAACCTTACTGCAGTGTGTCTTGGGTAGTGGTGATGTACTGAAGATTATAGACATACCCTTATAAATCTTCCTAAGTATAGTGCTCCCATGTGCAGATTGCTGCTTATTTGAACAGACTGTTTACTATCCAGAGATCTATTAATGGAAGTAAAACGTGGGAAGAAAATTGGGAAGGTGGGAGTGCGCTTCTCTTGAACTGCTCCCTTATCGTATGCTCTGTTAAGTGGACTTGACTGTTTTAGTTCTAGAAGATATCTAGAGTGTAGTAAGTTGTACTAATTGGTTAGATTATATAATCCATATATAATGATATTCAATGTATTTAATACTTCAACTTGTATTACAGATAACCATTAACTTTTTTAAAAGAAATTTCATTTAAAATTTTAAGAGGAAATTACTGTATACATATTTAATATTGCTAATGCTACTGGATACTGTAAACTGTATAATGAAGTAAATATGGAACCAAACAATTTCTAAAAGCATTTTTTTTTTATCATCCCAATGTACATAATTAACATAACAATATGTTGTTACTTTTTTTTTACAGTACAACAGAATGAATCCTGTGACTTTCATTACATGAGAGACATATAAAATTACATTAAAATTATTCTCGATTTAGTTGATAAATACAATCAAATACGCTCGTATGGGTATCTATATGGATTCACAAAGTGTACAAATGACGAAACATTTTACATGTGTTGAACTACGGCTAGATGACGTGAAAAAATTGCATTCTTCCCATTCTCGATGTTTTTATTCGTCATCATTTGGGTCTGTTCTAAATAAAAATGCATTTCTTCTATCCACTTCATATGGAAATTCATTCTTTGTTCAAAAGCAGTTAGTTAATTTGTCATGTTCTTCTTCTCTTTGGACCGGGAGTTGCCGGACTCGATGGTTTTGAAGAGTCCTCCTTTAGTGGTCTTCCACTTCGTTTTCTTTTGGGGGAGTTTTCTATCACTTCGTCTTTCACCAAAACTTGTACTTTTGCAGGTTTTAAAGCTAATTAAAAATAATAATAATTTTATATTTTGGCATATGTATATTTCTTTTAAAGTTTATTGAGAAAGCTATTGAACAAGTATTAATCATTAGGATTAAATATCTATTAGAAAAATCTAAACTAACTCCAAATGAACTTTTTTCTGTACATTAATTCTCTTTTCACCTTAATCACCTCAGCCATCCACAGATAATCATTTAACAAAACTCATTTTAGGGGAAAGGTAGGGAGAAAAAAAAATTCAGATGTCCATGGACAACATGGTTACAAAATGTAAAAAGATGGATTGAAATGATAACTGTTCAGTTGTTCAGCCAATGATAGGAAGAACATAGGTCAAAATGATTGCTAACATCCATTACAGTGATGATATTAGAAGTGGAAGAAGATAAAACTGTAAAAATTATTAAATGAAATCAAAAGTTTACATATAATGAATAGTTGATAATATATTATTCAATCAACTATCAATATATAAAATATTGAATTAGCAAATTACAGTGTGTTAAGATTAATACAATTTCGATCACTGCAAAAATTCAGTGTATAAAGATATACACATTTAACATTTTAAATAAAGAAGAGCAACTGTGTAAGTTTTCCTTAGCATTAACCGAAACAAATGGATTAATTAGCTGATGACGCTACAGTTGCAATTGACAAAATGGCATTGGCTAAAGAGAAGGTGCAAACTGTATAGTGGTATGCTGAGGTAAATTCTGTTGTACAAGTGCAGTGAAATTTTCATCACATTTGGAAAGGATTGTCCATCATGAAACACCATTAAGGAATGGAAGGATTCAATACTTTTCCTGTCCATGGGAAAAGTATTGAAAGGTCATGGTGGTAGAAAACCCAATTGTTGGAGAAGATTGTGGAAACAATCATAGAGGGAGGCTTTCCAATAAAGCCTAAAAAAGTCCATTTGTCAGGCACCTAGACAACTTCAAATTCCCATTAAAAATATATAAAAATGTGAAAAAAATGTATCAGAAATTACAAAAGCAGTTTTGCTTTTACTGTAAGGCTTACATTTGAACTATATTACAACACTTAATTTACAGAGTTTCTTTTAAACCCTGCGTTAGTGCACTGAGTTTTTTTTCGGCATTAGTGCAGTGGGGCGTTTGTCCACCCCAACATTTTTTTGGATCCATAAACCATGTAAGTAAAAATTCATAAAGATTTACTCATTTATTTGGTAAGGGCATGTGTCATTATACATATGATTATATTCTGGTATGATTACATATTATATTAGTACATAAATCCATGAAAATAAAAAACAACATTTTTCAAAACTCATTACATTAGATCTTATTATTAAACCAATAGTAAAAATCTAAATTGTTTTTTAAGCATTTTTGTCACTCTGATTCAATAGCTGACATTGTACTTTGGCACTCATTGCAAATGACAAGCAACTTGCTATGTTTGGTATTTTCTCAATGTGTTTATGAAAGTCAGCCATTTTGAATTAAAATAAACTTAAATTATTTTTATTCACATTGATTATTATATCTATATTATAAATAATAAATGTGGTCACATTATAGTTATTTTTAAAATAAAAAAAACTAAATAAATATTTGTAAAATTTAAAAAAAAACGTAATTAATACTGTGGGGTGTTTGGACACCCCACTGAGAACTGTTGTTTTTCTCTTACTGGAATTTCTGCAGCATCGTAGTAATTTCTGAGCATGCTCTATACATAAAATCATGAAGCTACTGAAGAGGACACAAATATTTCTTGCGAAATCTATGAATAGTGCAACTTTTAAAACGTTGGGGGTGGCGAAACACCCCACTGCACTAACCCAGGGTTAAGAACTGATTAATCCAAAACAATGCTTGCATTGTGAAACATCTTTATTTCACAAACGGCTATTGAACTGAAAATTTATGAAATAAAGTCATTTGATAGGCAAACATTGTTTTGGATTAATTAGTTCATTTAAGAAACATAAATTATAGATAATAAATTTAGAAGTATTTAGGGACCAAGATACTAATAGGATATTTTTATATCTAATGATTATTCTATACTAAGATTTATTTTACTAATCCTGTTCTTAAAAACAGAGCAGATTGTCTGCCATATATGTTAGAATTAATACACTAATCATGTCCAATCTTAAAATGCTGCAACATATTTAACTAATCCTAGATTTAAAATACTTAAAAGATTCAGTGTAAAAGATTATAAGTGCCACAATAAACATTTAGAAAAAATGGAACAATTAAATATATGAAGTGATTTTGTTTTCTTTGATCAGAATAAAGTACACGTTTTAGTTAAAAAGTACTGTACATATAATACTGTACTTGAATTAAAATATATTACTGTTTAGTTGTTAGCATGTGTTATAAAATACTAATGTAAATGGCACTTGCCATCTTTTACATCCAAACATTTCAGCTGTTAATTCTGAGATTTGTCTAAAGTCTGCTGGTTTTTTCCAGAAAATGACTTGACACTTTGATCCATTTTTCTTCAGACTTGCGACTTATAGATTATGACTAAAAAAAGAAGACTCTGTGGAACTAAACAGTTACTTTGTTTATCTAATTATCAACAGAACAACATGTTTCATGAATTTTACAATTAAAACACTTCAGAAAATGTCTTTTCCATTCTTGATGTGTATCATTAGTTCATTAAAAACTAAACTTTAATAATTTAATAGTTAATTTTTAATTAGTTATCAAATTTTTAAATTATTATTGTAATTGATAAGAATTTAAGTTCATTACAAGTAGATTAAATTTTATTATAAACTGCTTACTTGAAATAATACTCAAGTCATCTGTATATATTCCGTCCTTCCCTCGATTTAGTGCATCTCCTTTGTTTTTGGATCCTTCGGATTTAAAAATCTTATTTACAGTTTCTTTTGCATTCTTCACATTTGCTTCTTTTGAATTGTCATTTGATTTGGTTTTACCAATTGTATCTTTTGTATTTTTTGATGCACTGAAGTTACTGTCTGCTTTTAGTTTACCAGTACTATCTTTTGCATTTTTTAATATTATGTTAACTTCTTTTCCTGTTTCCAATTTGTTTTTACTAGAGTTTTCTTTAGCACTTTTTGAAATTCCACTTTCTTTTGAAACATCTTTATTGGCTTTACTGTCTTTTCCACTCTTCTCAGAAGATTTGTTTACTTCTTTCCCACTTTTTTGTGATCCCACAAAATTGTCTAATTTTAACAATTTATTTGATCCACTGCTACCGGGACTCATTTTTCCTCCAGATACATCTTTCACTTTATTACCTAAAGTGTCACTTGCACCTTTAGAATCACTCTTCTGTTTTCCCGTTCCTTTATCGGATTTTGATATCTTTTCATTTTCTTTTACTGCTGGCATATCGTCTGCAAATTTTAAAGACTTCAGACTTCCATAATCAGAATCAGGCAAAAAAAATTCCAATTCATTATTTGGAAAAGGAATTATTTCTGATTCATGCTAGAAAAAGTTAAAATAAAATTCTATAAACATTTTAAAATAAATTTACATATACATTATTCAATACAGCAAAAATTCCTTTCTCAGTATAGTAAAAAATCTATCATGTATCTTTTTAGTAAGAAAGGAAAGATACAAGTTACTTTTATTATAAATTATAAATTACATATCAATTTATAATATTTAATTTATATACTTTAACAATGATATTATACTAGATATGCTGATACATAAGGACATAGGCTTATTCATTATTTTCTATAAGATGATCAGTATTACACTTTCAAAGAGTGTCAGCTAAAATTAGTACATATTATTTCAATTAAAAATATATGAATTTCAATACTGAAGTGAAAAATACAGTCAAACTACAGAGTAATAGAGAGCATTCCAAAAAGCACTAGCCTTATGAAGCAGCAATAAATACTTATGAATGAACCTTCATTATAATTTATTAAATAATTAACTTTTAGTATCTATTGATTATTGATGTATAATTTTGCATTGCAAACAACATTGCCATCATCAAATAATGTAAATTTCAAACTCAAATCTGCATGTAGATCCATTACTGTATATTATTCTTATTAACCTTTGACTTAGTACCACAATCCATTTATGCTACATTTACACAACAAAAGTTAAACAATGTACAATTTACCCCAAGTTAACCATGAATAAATAGAATATAGGTTATGATGAGTGTTTATATAGAATGCAATTTGATTTGGGTTAACACGGTGTCATCCTTCTAGTGGTTTAATCCGGCAAGGACTAATGTTGTGAGACCCATGTCACTAATTTTCTTGAAGAAGATTAACTCAGTTGCAGAAAGTGTGTTAAAATAACCCAGTTGTTAGAAAATTGATCAGGATCAGCTAATTCCATTCTGTCCGAATGAAAAAAGTTAACTGGGTTGAAAGGCTCGATTAGATTAATCCTTGTGTAAACAGAGTATTAGAGTCAGATTCAAGGGTGAACAAATGTTGGTGCTAAATTAAAATTTTACTATGTATTTACGTTGAAATTATACTGTTTTTTAAAAATATCACTTGACTTAAATATACAACCAAACCTCAAATTACTTGTTTTTTAAATGAGTTGTTAAAGTATATTGAGCTGCAATTTTCAAATTGCAGACCTACAAATTCCCACTAGTGAAATTTGACTATCCATCTCTCCTTTCCTAATCCAAGAATAGTTAGGTAGATGAAACTCAAGACCAGATATGGAAAGCTTAGGACAGAAAGTCCCAATTAACTATATATGAATTTCCTGTCTGGACCATTGGTTACATAATTTCAATTAAAAAATTTTGTCCAGAGCAGAGTTAGATAGATGACTGATATGACTGTTGTTATCAGGAAACTATGATGTAAGGGGGAAAGACATTACTAAAATTGAGAGCATATATTTTTAATTAACTAAATTAAAAATATGATTAAAAGTTGTAGCCCAGCATTGTCACAATAATTTTTGCTCGTTTCTGTTCTTTTTTTCAATGCAAAAATCTAACTAAACTCTCTCTATGCTGTCTGTGTTTATAAAATCTGTTCATGGGTACTCAGACAGCTGTAAGAGAGTATGTATATATGTACATATACTAGAAACATAAAATAGTGAAGTTTTGATTAATTAATTAATATTAAAAGTTTTGAATTAATAGTAGCATATGTATGATGATTAAATAAAATCAAAATATAAATCAAATATAAAATTTATATTGATAGGAAGAAAAAATTCAATTACATTGAACTCTTTAAGGTAATGAGTTAATCATATTGAGTTCACAGTGTATGTAAAGAGTAGCAAGAACCAACAAAATTGCTTACTATATTGGGTATATCAATAGCTCACTGTATATTTAATCCAAAATTTGTTTGTAACTTTAGATTATGAATGTATTTTATATAAGATTTTGCCTATTTATTCATGTATGTAACTTTCTTAAAATGATTTTAACCATTGAACAGTTAAAGCATCAGCCTATCACTCTGAAAATCTGAATTTGAATCTGAAATTGGTATCTCAAAACTTTTTACCTGATCTAAATATGTAGAGCTCCATCTCTCATAGCATTGTGAGTGTGGTCAAACACATAATGAAAATAAGAACTTTCTTAGAGCCCCAGAATAGCAAGAAAAATTATCCATTTTAAAAAGATTATATAGAAATTATTTAAAGAAAAAAATTTTTTTTGCCTTATGACAATGACAATATATCACTGAAAGTGTTTGCAGATACCTTTGTCTAAAAAATTATTCTTTTATGTAAACATGATGACTATTTTGAAACACGTTTAAAGAATTTAATGAATGTCATTGTGAAAAAGATATTCAGTCACATCTCAAATTTAGAGAATCTTGGAAAAGATCCAACATACAGCATAATTGTAAAATTGTCTATTGAAGTTAAAAACCTGGTTCTATGGAAAACAAATTACATTTACATTATTTTATAACTTTTTAGATTTCATAAACAAAATGTTTTTGTACAATACTAGATTTTTCAGATATATTGTATATTAATTATGTATAGATTTTAAACTATTTTTGATAATCTCCTCCCTGTTGTGTACTTTTGGCAAACCCCCTCCTCTTTAATTATGCGTACAATGGTTCATGATCCCAATACTGAAGAAATGACTATCAGAAATTATATGCAGAACTTTTCAATTTCTTCACAAGATTAGTAAATAGGCTAATAAGAACAAATTTGTATGCCACTAATACCAGTAAAAAAGGCCATTTAGACAATGCCTCAACCCCCTCACTCACCACTGCATACAATGATGTACAGTACTTTTCATGACCACATCTCTCCTTAAATTGTATACATAATTAATGTACTGCCCATATAAGTATAAAATAAACACAGATAGTGAATTACAAGATGACATTTTTTAATTATTTTTTATTTTTAATATCTCTTTTCACTTATCAAAATATAAAAATTTATTCTGTACACAGTCTGATGATGAACCATATATATTCATACATAAACTAAATGAAAATAGAAGTATATAAATTATTATTTAAAAATATTCCTCATATCTATCATTCTTGGTATTATAACCATATTTGCATTTTCTATGATAATGCTTCTTTATTAACTCAAATATCTTAATGATATTCCATACACCAGTGGTTTTAAACAAGACACTAACTTGAAAAATCAAGACAAAGACCAAACAAGATCAAGATTTTAATTTTCAAGACCAAAGTGCAAGATCTTGATACCTTACAACACTGACTGTTTTAACCTGCAAGAATTTAAAAATCCTCAAAAAATCCTTATATAAAATGTAATTTACAGCAAAAAATACTGTATATAGAGAGAACACTGTATTAAGTGTTCGCTCTATATACAAAGCAGTGAAAAGTTAACATGACAAGTACTGCTGAAATACTGCTCTCTATATGGCCATATCAACAAAAAAATCCATTCTTACAGCACTGATTATTTAGGAGACCGAAATAATTGCAAATATTCATAATCTTTATACGAAAAGCATTTTATTTTTCTCATTATGATTTGATTTTAAACATTCGAGACAACTTTCACTTTAGGAAAAGCATCTGTATTAAAGAGCTACATATTGATACTGTTACAAAATGACATAAAATACCAAATAGTTAAAAAAAAAAAAAAAAGGAAGAGGACCAGACCAATACAAGATTGAGACAGCACCTCACAAAATCAAAACATTATTAGATGTTGAAACTGTGTTGAAGCAAGACCTTGTCTCTAGACTTAGCATCATTAAAATAAAATAACTGATTTTAAATTTGGTTATTCATTATTTTTGGTTAGTGATTTTGCATGTTTTTGTAAAGATACCTATTTAATGTATATAAACATATTTAAATATTAGTAATTATTAAATTTTTATTTTCCAGATCTAATCATTCAATGACTTGCAAATGCAGTTCTAATATTCTTCATATTGCTTATATGCATTAAGTAGATATCTTTAGAAAACATGCAAAATAATTTTGACATCATATATTTCTACTGACAAAATTTAGGGTTTTTCAGATAAACAAAATTTCAGAGAATCCAGAAATGCATTTGTTTTCATTTTAGGTGCATCAAGCATTGTGCATTTAAAGTTTCATAAATATTGTAATTCAATTACTAAAGATATATTAATTTACTCAAAATCTAAGGTAATGTTGCATATATTAACTAGTTTCGCAGAGCCACAATTGGCAGATGACTTAGTGATTTCTAGTTATGAATACATACGGAATTTGGTCTCTGCATACTATTTTCTGTGGTATATATGATGCTACGTTCTTTTTCTTTTTTTTTGAAAATTGCTTTGAATAATTGAGTTTCTACTGTATATATTTTAAAATTTATATAGGATATCAAATTTAAACTTTTCAAAAATATTTAAATATTTTATATTAAATAATAGTATAAATTTGAATCATTGATTAATTAACTTGAGGCTTCAGTACATTGTAAGCTATATGTCTGGTCACAATTATGCCTATTATGGGTGACTTGCAATGTGGTCAATCAGAATGACATTGTAATTCATACTATACATAATAAATCACAGCAATCTGGACCAGATTCAAATCCATATTTCTCACAGTACACTCATCTGGATGTTCCTATCTATATAATATATAACATCAATATTTTAAACCTAATTTGGGTTAATATAAACCCAAAAATTAGCTTTAAAATATTGATGTTATATATATATATACACACATATATATAATTGAAAAAATCCTATGTGTATATATATATATATATACAGTAGAGTGTCGTTGGTGGTTCGGATAACTTATTTTTCGGATAACGAATCATGTACGAAAAAATATATTAATTTATCCCATGTTGAAATTTCTCTCCGNGATATCTGAAATATTGAATTTTATAATTTTCAGGATGTTTTATCTTATTAAAAGTCTGAAGAAGTTCTGATTTTATATTCAGCATAGAAATTGCTTTAGTAAAATGTTTATCACCACATTAGTAATATCAGATATTTTTAAATGTAAAAAGACAAATTAAAACAGTTTTATTTTAGGGGTCAAAATAAGATTTATTTTGGATAAACTTCTTTGGAGTTTTAAACTCTAAAGCTGGAATTAAAGATTCTGAAAACATTTATTCAAAATAAATTTTATCCTATCTCCTGTAATGAAGTGTGAACCAGTTCTTTTATACTTTTTTATCTGCAAATATAAGTTTATTTAAATTAGATGGTTTTTTTCAATTATGATTTGGATGTCTTTAATATAAAAATCATAATTGAAAAAAATCCTATGTATATATATATATACATAGGATTTTTTTCAATTATGATTTTTATATTAAAGACATCCAAATCATAATTGAAAAAAACCATCTAATTTAAATAAACTTATATTTGCAGATAAAAAAGTATAAAAGAACTGGTTCACACTTCATTACAGGAGATAGGATAAAATTTATTTTGAATAAATGTTTTCAGAATCTTTAATTCCAGCTTTAGAGTTTAAAACTCCAAAGAAGTTTATCCAAAATAAATCTTATTTTGACCCCTAAAATAAAACTGTTTTAATTTGTCTTTTTACATTTAAAAATATCTGATATTACTAATGTGGTGATAAACATTTTACTAAAGCAATTTCTATGCTGAATATAAAATCAGAACTTCTTCAGACTTTTAATAAGATAAAACATCCTGAAAATTATAAAATTCAATATTTCAGATATCATTTGTAAAAAAAATGTTACAAATAGGGAGAAAAACTATTTAAAGAAAGGTATATACACTATTTATAGGATTGTTACAAAATTTCTCCCCAATGTTCTCTGTCCTGGGCAAGTTCTTGTATTTGTTATTTCACTGTCAATTAGTTAGTCAATATAGAATATGTGCTCACATTATCTGTTTTAATAAAATTGTTTTCCATTATAATAATGTTTATAGTTAGATTCTAAGATGTCCACACATCAGATGCTTTGACTAGATAAAAAATTAATGATTTCTGTATACTTATGAATATCTGAATTTTTCTTATTGTAATACTCTACAGAATTAATGAATTAAACAAATTGTTGTATAATAATTTTACACACTTTACAGTACTTTAATAAATCAAATTTGTAATATTTTCTATCATTGCTGCAAATTTCTAAAAACTTTCATAAATAAAATATTCATATATATATAAATGATGCAACAAATACTTGGTTACTATTCAGTATTCAACCGAATACCAAATACCTAAAAAAGGAGTAAGAAATAACAAAAACACAGTAAATTAGTCATTTTGGTAACTTTTATTAATGCTGAACATAAATTTCAAGTTTGAGAAAGTGCAATTTCTTGCTTTTTATCTAAAAGATCAAAGGAAAAGTAATATAACTAAGTTATTTTTTAAGAGATCAAAAAAAGGTAACAAATCAAATGAAAACTACCTACTTATTATGTAGTTTAGTCATCTATATACTCATATATAAAAGAACAAGTCCCGATAGGATAATTAATGCAGAGCCAAAACTACTGGTGCTAGAAACTTAAAAATTTGAGGGTGTATTCCTTTTGTAAAGTTTAGGCGTGCTAAGAAAAGATTTTATGAAATTCAACCCAAAGGGACTGAAAAGGGTAAAAAATTTGTATGAAAATTTTTACTGTGTGGGCACATTAGATCAAAACTTAGGTCATAAAATGTAAAAAAAAAAAAAATAACGATCTATAAAGCATTTTTATGAAATCATTCCTTATTATACTTATTAACGTTTTTGTTTCATTGTACAAAATTATTTATCATTACTGAAGTTCCAGACAACTTGGTAGCCTGAACGGCCCCAGGCTTTCAACTGTGCACGCTAAGTGACTTTCATTACAAGCATTTAGCTTTCCGAAATCTATGAGAACAATTATTTGGCATTGACAGCTGCAAATTTTGCGCCAATATGCTGCCTCGATTGTTCGATTATGTTATCAACTCAATTTCATATTTATTTTCACATTTTCACTTCGCGGTCCTTCTCTGTTCTTTTTCCATTATTTACATGTGTAGGTCATTTCATTGCTATCCCTTGCAAATGCAGTTCTAATATTCTTCATATTGCTTATATGCATTAAGTAGATATCTTTAGAAAACATGCAAAATAATTTTGACATCATATATTTCTACTGACAAAATTTAGGGTTTTTCAGATAAACAAAATTTCAGAGAATCCAGAAATGCATTTGTTTTCATTTTAGGTGCATCAAGCATTGTGCATTTAAAGTTTCATAAATATTGTAATTCAATTACTAAAGATATATTAATTTACTCAAAATCTAAGGTAATGTTGCATATATTAACTAGTTTCGCAGAGCCACAATTGGCAGATGACTTAGTGATTTCTAGTTATGAATACATACGGAATTTGGTCTCTGCATACTATTTTCTGTGGTATATATGATGCTACGTTCTTTTTCTTTTTTTTTGAAAATTGCTTTGAATAATTGAGTTTCTACTGTATATATTTTAAAATTTATATAGGATATCAAATTTAAACTTTTCAAAAATATTTAAATATTTTATATTAAATAATAGTATAAATTTGAATCATTGATTAATTAACTTGAGGCTTCAGTACATTGTAAGCTATATGTCTGGTCACAATTATGCCTATNTTATATATAAGTATGGAAAAAAATCTTTTGTTTGGTTTAAGTGAAACAATCATTAACTCTCCAAAACAAATAACTGCTTTATTGGAGCAAAAAACAAAAAATACTACTAAATACTTCTTCAGATCCTTATTGGGAATGACGTAACATAAACAACTGTACAAAAATCTTGAAAATAAAACTTTTGTTCAGTTTCAAAATTTTTATTCAATTTCTCTTTATGTTATGTTATCAAAGTTAAATAATAAAAATGTTCTTTTATCCCCTGATGATGATCTGAAGTCTGAAAGCACATAGAAATCAGTATTTATTTTGTTATTTTACTCCAATAAAGGGTCAATTTTTGGTATTTTACACGAAATGAAACAACAATATCTAGTTTCCATTATGTAAAAAAATATATCAGAGAAATGAAGATATGAAAATTGATTCTCTTTTGTTTCTTTAAAGACAAATTTAATATTTTTTCAAATATCAATAACTATGCTTTCTTGATTTAAAATGTTAAATTATGTATGTGTGTACATATTTTGATTTTATAAATATCAGATATTTACATTATGTTTAAATCTTGTAAAGGCCTGAAGAAGCCTGACTTTTTATACAACACATACTCACTTTAATAAAAGTTTTTCATTATCCAGAATTTCTCAATAATGTTTTCCACTGTTAAAATAACAATAGCAGGTGTAAGATTTAAAAATTCTTTTATAAATATTGACAAGAAATAAATTCTCAATTTCAATATTATATATAATTGCTGGATAAAGATCATTAATAATAAATAAAGTATATTATAATTTGTTGAAATTTCTTAAAAATATGAACTTTACCAAAGCTGCCATGTCGTACATCCCATCCAGATGAGACCATATTTGCTTAGAAGATATCTCTTTATTTATAGAATTACTAAATTTTTCATGAATACATGCCATTTGAAAATATCTGTTTACTCCTAAAAATAAAAAAGTATTTTAGTATCAGCTATATTAATAATAATAACATATACTTCAACCTAATACACTAGTATTACCAAACGATCTGTCATATTATTTATCAGGCTACATTAAGGTTAGTTAATTAATAAATTAGATACAGAGCATTAATTAGTCTTATGTAGTCCAAAAATAATCTGGCAGATCATTTGGTAATGATAATCTTTAAACATCAATAATTTAATGCTGAAAATTACCAATACATTTAAACAAAATAACAAAATATTAATTAATTTTTATAACTGCTAATTTCATACTATACATTTTTGTACAGACTATTATAGTAAGATTCATAAATTAAAAAATTAACGTAAAACTTGAACCTATGTATCATCGTTTTTCAACCAATAAGAAGCATTAATTCTACTGGTACAAAATTTATTAATTATTTATGAAAGTTTATATTTAATTACAGGAAATTCTCTATTTCCAAATTCTTTGTAAAACAAATTTCTTTCTACATTAAAAGTTTCCAGAAATGACAGTACCAATCAGAAGGATACATAACAACAAGTGAGTACACTTATACCATGAACTAGAATTTTCTAAAGACATGCATCATTGAAGATCCCTTCAGTATAAGAATCTGGTAGGTTGAATTATCTTGGCCTTGAAACAACTGACATCATTTTATAATATGTCTGTGAAAACTTACACAAAAATGCTTATACTTGAGAGTAGAGGTGTCATCCAAACAAAGATATTTTTTGAAGAAAATGCATCATCACACATTTGTGTAGTATTTTTAGTTTTAACAAACATTATTTCTCTCTTTCTATACTGTCTCATCTGTCCCTTTATATGGTACTGTATATTATAGCAGATTAAATACAATATTATATCTTTAAGAAGTGTGTTCTATACATATTACATCAGTGTAGCGATTGTAAATAAATGTATTTATGCTTCTCAAATTTTAACTGATCATTTATTGTTCTCCTTATAACTAACACCAAAAATTTTAGTCCCTTAAATTTGTTAATTAAAAATTTCTTATACATTAAAGTTAACCTAAAAACATTTGTAGTAGTTTAACTCAATATTATTTTGTAGAAAAACTAATAATAGAATGCATAAAAAACTTTAGAAACTAACTGAAAAAGATGTAAATTCTGCTCTCAAATTTCTTAAAGTATTCTTATAGTAAATGCAAATTTAATCTTGGATGTACATAGTAATAGTAAACTCATTTAAAATAAGCATATTAATATCCACAAACTGTATACAGAAATTAAGAACTGATACTAATGTATACTATAAATATTTAATGTGTTTATGAACAAGAATCTTTTGAGAGTCATTTCAAAATTTAAATGTATAATCTACCAAAAGTATAACATTAGTTTAAAAACAAGAACCTAGGAGCTTAATTAATTCACTTAATATAAAATAGTTACAAATTACAGATATATGCCATTAAAATAAATAATTAACCAAGTGGTTAATTATTACAAAAAAATCAATCATAATTCTTTATGCTTAAACTTTTGAAGTTTGTAAGTTATACCAAAAGACTCTAAATATGACTTCAAATTTTAATTTTTAATATTCATTTACAAAAATCCTATAATAAATTAAAAATTAAAACAGTGATGTTTAAATATATTTGTCAAAAGTATTTTTATTATGGAAATTACATATATAATTGAAGAGAAATTAATAGGTTCAAAAATGTTTCTATTTAAATGAATGCTATTTTCAATTTCTAGACTTGTCTATTTTGAACTTTTTAAATTCTATAAAGTTATTATTTTTCATGAAATTTTTAAAATATTTTCTCATAAAAAATATACAGATAATTGAGGGTAGAATTATAATAACAAGCATTTTATCTTCATGTTTGTTATAATTAAAACTTTTGATAAATATATTACATTATAAATTAGAAATAATAATAAATATTTAGTCTTGTTAACAATAATATCTTTTTTATCATTTATATATAAGTATGGAAAAAAATCTTTTGTTTGGTTTAAGTGAAACAATCATTAACTCTCCAAAACAAATAACTGCTTTATTGGAGCAAAAAACAAAAAATACTACTAAANAATTGTTTGTATAAACTTTATTATTGATTAACAACACATAAATTATTCTAAGTTTGAAAAAACTGTCATCCATTCCATACAAATAACATGCTTCTGTTTGACATTTGATGAAAATTGATTCAAAATATTAATATATGACATTGGGCATGTGTGTTGAGAGGTATTAAATTAAAGTAAGTCATTACTTTACCTTCTGTTTTGTCATTGAGACAATATATAACAGTATTTAATATATTTTACAGCTTGTCAACACAAATAGTGGTGAAAATCTTTTGAATTTTACATATTTAAAACACGTGTATGATGAATAAGTGTTTAATGAATCAATAAGGAAATATTTATGAACTGATAAAGAGATTTAAGATGATAAACAAGAGTTTGAGCTTTGAAAGTAATATTTATGTTAAAAAAATAATGTAAAACATTGTGTAATGTAATAAAATGCATGTAATTAGCATGAAATTCGGTAAAAAATTGGTTTAATTTGTGATATTTTAGGATTTCGACATCAGTTTTTTGTGTATTGTTTGAAAACAACTCTTCAGAAACATAATGCCGGTCTGTCTAGTTATTAAATTACATGTTCATATTTTATAGTTAAATATGAATGAATTTATCGTTTATACAATGTAAAATTGACTTACCGACTGGTTTGTGTCCTTTCATAGCATGAAAAAACTGTACTTCCATGTCGACATTCCAGTCTAATTCACCGTTTTCATTTTCTGTCGTCGCCATTTTGATTTGTGCATGCCAAACAAATGTAACTAATCAATTCACTTCTAATCGTCCATTATCGTAGCGCAACCTGGTTTTTGAAATACGAACTATGGCTTATATGTTTTCTAGAAATATTTACTTATTATTTTTTAATAAAATTGATATATTAACTCTTTTCATTTTAATTAATTAAATTTTTCAGTATATATTAATTAATAAACTATATTTAAAATGTACTGGTTAGTTTGAGAAAAAGTTTCGAAATATTCTAAAATATTATGTACTGTACATTTTTTCAAATTAAAACGGAACAAATTAATAATAAAACACGATTCAGTTATTTTTTTATTAATTATTAATTAATGAAATATACTAATATATTATATCTTGTATTCAAATATATAATGTACAACAGTGAAAACCCCCAGGTGACGGCCGTATGGCCGAGCGGTCAAGGTGGCAGCCTACCGCACTGGGGGACCCGGAATCCGGACGGGTCAAGGAATCCTCAGGAAGTTTTCGTGGGTTGGTCCGTTCGGATATGTCCCCGTTCCTCACCACCCGGCCATCCCGTTGTGGGTCTGTCCTAACCCATAATGGGCTTGCTAAAAACGAGGCCCTCTTAGTACCTACAGGGCGGAAAAAGTTAATTTAGCGAAATTTGCTCGCCTCTGAAATTGGCGTAAAATCGAGTGTGGAGCTAAACTTAAGTATGTGAGGTTCCTGAGTCCTAATCCGTTATTAATCGCTCAAAAATATTTTAAAATAGAGAAAAAATTGTAATAAATAAACGTGACGAGAAAGTAAAGGATGTGAATCCCAAGCGCGACTCCGACATGTGATAAGCAATAGATTAGTGTCAGGCAGGAGAGTTCGAACTTTGACACTTATGCTCGTATACAAAAAATCGAAGTTAAATTCTGATTGATTAATAATTCATTTTTTCTATACGGAAAGTGAAAAACATCGAAACCGGGAATCTTTGGAAAGATTACTAATTGTATTTCAATTTCATCTCCTTCTAATAGAATTATACCTGAACCAAATGAAATATTTTTATGATTAAATTCATATTTTCATCATTTTGCAATTTGCATATACTTACTCTGTCTGCTGAGCTCCCACACTATACGACTTTTAATTGGTTCTTTTAAACAATAAGGACAACGTAAACATTTAGGGATCGGATGGTTTTCCAAAACAAACCAAATACATTGAAAACGTTCTGTTAATTGCAAATAACGTTGCATATTCTGAGGATAAAACAATGTCGATTCTATTAAGGAAACCGGAATTTTCTGTTAAAATAAAACAACATAATTGAAAAGAATTTTATAATTTTAAATAATTAAAAATTAAGTGATATGGTGTGCAAGAAAGAAAAAAAATTTTATTATTACCCTAATAACTATTGTTACTTTCTGATACATGATGTCTTCAACGATAGCTTTCCACGTGGTACACACTCGACGGCAGTCCAATAATTCTGTATCTGTCAGATATTTAAATATTCTACGCATTATATCTGGCAATATTGTATTCCCCCTAATTAGAAATTTTTTTCTTAACGGTGATTCTCCGTTTGAATTTTCTAGCATTCTTGAATCTTCTGGTATTCTTGAATCTTCTGTAAAGGAGAAGAATTTATGAATTCTAATATTTGTCCTAAAATATAAGTTAATTAAGTGTAAGCAGCTGTGTTGCAAAACTTTTCATTTCGTATCATTTATATCAGTATTGCCCTTGTCACTAGAGCCACTCAATATTGTCATTAACTCAATAGAGTCATCAATTTTTCTTCTGATCTGAGAGGATCAGAAGAAAAATTAAGCGTTCTATATATATATATAAAGTTCAGACAAATGTTCTAGAATGTCCTAATACGTCTAGAACAGGGGTTCTTAAACTTGTTTGTTCCATGCACCCCTTTTCCAGTCAGGTGAAGGTCGCGGTTACCCCTCTCGGAATAATGTCTTTAAATGCATAAAATAAAATTATAAAATAGACCAGTCATATAGAAATATATTTATTAAAAAAAAAAACATATAATGTAGTATAATATAGTGCTTCTTTCTTAACACCATAATTAACAATACATTTTAATGAATTTTTCGATGGTTTAGCTGTTTTTAATGTTGTTTTAGTGAATGTCTCTTCAATCCGAAAAATCTTTTCGATAGACTACCTCACAGCCAATCAGATTGAAGAGACATTCACTAAATAAATACATTTTAAATATATTAAGATTTATTTTTACCATTCCAAGCTTACTGACTCCTGGTTAAGAATCCGTTTTAGATAAAACCCTACATAATTTCTGACGTAGAATCGAATCTGCTCTGAAAAATGAGGGTTTCCATTTGAATTTACAAATTTGCCCTCCCCCCGCTACACCCCAAGGGCGGACGGGGTCTAAATTTTGCTAGGATGAACTGACCCCTTCAAAATACTGAGGGCTTGTTTCAAACGTTTCTCGAGATATTTCACAGTCTCAAGAACATTTCGATAATAACAGAAAAAATAAAATGTTGAAAAAAGAAATTTTAAATTTTGAAACACTTCGATCATATCAATCATACGAGGACGGTTTCGTTCCCCGGAGTTCGATTGTGGATTCGCGCCTGACCAGAGATAGGCTGGCCACGTAGAGTTTTCCAAGTTTTTTCCCACGTCTGTAACGCCTGAATCCAGTTGCCCTTAAAAAATAGGCAGATCGCCCAAGTGTTGCATTGCCAGAATTTAACAAACAAACAATCATACGAGTCTTTATTAGCATATCTCTGAAGTCAGATAATTCGGGATGATCTTTATTTTCTATGTCTACGAAACCTCAACGTTTCATCCGTCGGAACAGTTTATTTCCATCGATCTCGCGCTGCTTCTCATTGCCTACTACAGCAGAGTATTTTTGGACCTTATTTGATCGTTGATCGTCTTATCTTCTCGAGTTTCTTCGATATCTTTCACGGGGTAAACGACTATTCCGTTCTCTTCTAAGCATTTTCTAATAACTTTCTCGAAGGCTATTTTCTCATCCGGCGTTAGTGTCACTCTTTGATATGACGGGAAAAAGAATAATAATTTTTTCCATCTCTTCATGCATTTAATATCCAGAGGAGTCAGCCAGCGACCAGGAGAAACGAAGTAGATGCAGCAGTGAGCTCTTGTATCCGTTATGGTCTTCTTACGAGCTACACATTCTTCTTCCAAATATCTTTCATATTGCTCGTGTATATTTATTATATTTTAGAATAGGGAGCCAACAGTTTTCGTTGTTAATTTGATGGCCGGATGTGTCTGTAACTATGAGATCAATCCGAGAAACCGAAGGGAGTTCGGTTTGAATCAAACCGAACTCCCTTCTTCTTCAGATGGCTAATGCATTTAATTTCTGTTCTTTTTCGTAAACCTCACTTTGCAAATCTCGTGTATGTGTGTGTGTTGACGTCTATTTCGTTTAATATTTCTTGATCAGGTAATAATTAAATCGTTTTTTCAAGACAACAATGACAACAATAAGTAAAATATAATTTATTTTAAAAATTCACAAATGAGTTATGTAACTTCTCTGGCTTTGGTGAAATTTTATTTAAAAAATAGCTTTAATTAATCGTAATAAATTATATTAAATTTTGTGCTGTGCCCTCTGTTATAAAAAAATTTTTTTTGTATTTTTAGTAATTATAAAATGGCAAAAAGTTTGATTTTGAAGATAGAGATGTATCATATAACAAAAATTGTATACATGCTAATAATGAGTAAAATCTTGTGTATTTTCTTAGCATAAGGTTGCCGTTGAGAACAAATCACACAGGAACACTTTTAGTGGGAAAAAATAGGTTTAGTGATAGGAAAGGATTTGCATTTAGGGCTTAATGTCCCTCTTTAGTCCTATTATAACAGATTTATCAGAAAAATTATTAAAGAGTTACAGATTTTACCGATTGTATTAAAATATTTAGGATACGCGTACAAAGGTTTATACAATAAAACATAATTACCTGAGATTATAGTGACAGTTAGGACAACACGACTCGTGAGAAGACATAGGTGAAAAAGGGGGAGGAACCCTTATACACATTATAATAGTATAACATGTGCTAGAATAAAAAGGGGGTGAACTTAATTAAGAGGCGGAATTTTTATAAAATTAATAAGGGAATACCTGTAGGATGCGAAATAATTCCGATGAAATGTATAAGAAACATAGACCGGATAGGAGAGGTTAAAAAGATGTGAGTATTCCCTGTATCGTTCACCGAATGTTTGGTGTGTTGACTTACAAAGTGGGATACGATAGAGGGAGGAAGCTAGTACATCTTAACGCTCTGCTAGTTTCACGTATGTAATAGTATTTTAGATGGCACGTACGAGCGAAGCTATAAACAAGATTATTATTTAATAAAACAATATTAATATTAGTTTGTTCTTTGGTTTTTAAGAAATTTTTGATTTTATTGTTTAGTGTGGGTGCTAAAATGATATTATATGGTGTTAGTATTCTTCGGATGTTTTCAAAAAATAGTAGGGGTATAATCTAATTTTTTGTAAATTACTTGTGTCTTTGGTTTGGTTTGACTTGACGAGGTTGTGTAGCCATTTGTTGATAATTCTATTTGGGTAATTATTTAATTGAAAGGTGCGATAAGTTTGGTCTATTTCTATGTTTTGGTTACAATTGTACGTGTTTTGATTTTGTTGACATACATATTGAATATGTTCTTTTTAATATACATGATAGTTACATACTAAACGGTTTATGAGGTGTAAAGAAACTGCATTTATTTGAATAAAATCAAAAATATCGTATTTTATATCGTACCAAAACAAAATGTAAGGCAACATCTGCGGATAGTGAAGACATTTTGATTAACGTATCGAGTTTGAGAATCATAAAATAATGGATAATTTATTTTTAATAGGAAACAAACAAAATTTTATTATTTAAGGTACAAACTGGCAAATTAGAGCTAAGGCGCCAGCAAGCAATTACAAAGTTTTCTTTTCTACAATATCGATTTCGCGATAAATTTCTCACAAATGATTTGAAGTATATTCAGTCACCATTGTGTTAGTCCTTAGTTGTAATGAGAGTTCATGGATGATCATTGATTAATTAATTGTGTTCCTATTCGTAGAGATAAGAAAAGAAATCAGAAGATCCACTTCTTCATCGTCTAGTGCTTCGATTGCCTGTCGAACTTTTAGGAACGATGATCTGTTGCCATTGGGTAGAACAGATGAAGACAAACTTCTTAAAATATTCTTTTTTGAAGATTCGTATGCCAGTAAAGTTGTCGTCTCGGATTCCGGTGGAATTGTCACATCCATGTGTTTGTTTTTCTTATTCAAGATGACAGACGAAACATGCTTTCGACCCAACTCCATTCTGCACATTTGAAGAAATACAACACAAATTACGAAAATAAGTATGAGTAATAACCAATAAATCACCCGATTAGTTTCGATAAGTGACGATGCAGAATTGATTTTGGTGGTATTGGGTGTGATTTGGTCGACGAGATTCTTGAATATTCTTCCTCTAATTTTTTCTAATTGAACTTTCAGCCAATCTTTTTCCTTTGAAGTCTCTGTCGATGGCCGATAAGTTGTAATTGTATCCGAATGGATTGATGATATTTTGTCGAAATCATAAGAAATTTTCGTTTTCTCCGTCGAATCAACTGGTTTGTTTTCGGATATCTTCAGATTGTCTAGAATATCCTCTTGAGTTGTTATAATTGCTGTATTGGTTTTGTTCGAGTGACGAGTCAAAAGTCCATACAAATATTTCAAATACTTGTAACCATTAGGTGCCACGTTCAATGATCTGTCAAATTTGGGTGGATCCTGCTTGGCACGGAACGGAGAAAATTTATCCGTTCTACTCTCTACTGGATCCAGGAGTCCTCTTTGAATTGGTAAAGCAAGTGTCAAAATTGTCGAAGAAAATAAATAGAAAATTGAAATAAAATTGCAGAGCAATAGCATCTCAAACGAGCGCTTTCTTTTCAAAGAATACATTTTTACAATAAAGCTTTTTTTATTACTATTATGGTATTGTTGAATTCTTTGTTATAGACTTAAAATGATTTCAATTTTTCTTTGTTTCCTTTTTTTGTATCGTTGTATAACAGGAAAATTTTTTCCTCCCGAAAAATTGTACCATTACACATAATGGAGGAATGTAACGTTTAATGGAGATGTTTTCGGTAGGAAAAACGTAGGAAAAATTTTTTATTAAATGTTTATGAATTGTGTCTTCAATATTCTTTCAGTTTGGACTCGTGAAAAGATTGCGCGACAGAGAATTTGAATCTTTGTATACAGAATATATGTATTGTAGGTCACGAGATAGAAACACACATCACTAGTGGGCGACATCAAAAATATATGGGATTTCATACATTTATAACAAAAGTTTGTAGTAATCTTGAAGCGGAGATCTAATGTTCCTTGCATCTGTTTCTTATACAGTATTTATGTTTAAACTGAGCGGGAAATGGAGAAGTGTCGACAGCTCTAACATTCTCGTCTCGTTTGACAGCTAACATGTCAAAAGTCAAATGGAGAACATAACGATCAAAAATACGAGCACAAATTTCAAGATTCCATCATCTCCCGGTCAGAATCGAGGAATGGTATCTGTTGAGTACTTAAGACCGTCCATTCACATGACCCGATCCACCTGGAAACAAGGAAGGAAACCAATCGGGTAACAACAAGAGAGAATCAGACCAATCTGAGAAGGAAATTCGGGGATGAAATCCCGTAAATACCCCGAATTTCAAGGATGGAAAGCCGACTTTTATCTTTTTGTATCGTCAAAAGACCCGCGCACTCTTCTTGTCTTTTGCCATGGCCCCGAACGAAGTTCCGTCGTTCCTGCCTGTGCTTCGTCGTGCTCCTCCGTCTGCTGGATTATCCACGACACCATCCCGGAGCCCCAACGAGATTCTTATCGCTGCAAATTTGCATCCGTGGACTCTATTGATCTTGAAAAACAGGAGAAACACCTTGTAAGCTCTTTTCATATAAAATAAACGAATTTCATTTGTAAAGGTACCCGATTGAGTGTGTGTCCATCACTACTCCACATACAGTTCAGATCCGTCGTATATCTTGATGCGAGTTTAACTAACTCCTTGCTTTCTGGATCGGCAAATCTCACCGATATTTAAAAAAATAGCAATTATATATAGTAATACGGTTCATCCCGGATATCGTATTTACTATTCATTGTGGCCCTGATCTGTGATGAACATCATAAAAAGACTTTCTTACTACCTACAAAAAAAAAAAAATTTCATAGATAGAGCAAAATACAGTAGAGCGTCGATTATCAGAAAGTCAATTATCCGAAACATCAATTATCCGAAAGAATTCCAGTCGACAAATTTAAATTTTTGCCAGTGCTGAGCCGCTGCATTCTTTGGCTATGTCTTGGGCTACTCAAATATTTTACGTTTTTGATACTAAATTAACTTCTGAAGTATAATTTTTTATTGTTTTTATATTTTTCAATATATTTATTTTGTTTGTACAAAATNATTTTACTCAATAATTGATTTAAGTAAAATTTTATTGTCTAAAATCAATGATAATTTTAATAAATTTTAAAATATTTTATAGAGAATTATTACGAAGATTACGTATTGACTGATTCAAACGGATATCCGGAAGATATTAGCGAGGAATGCACTAAACCAGGATCAAAATTTCTTTTAAGCTTTTTCTACGATGGAAAATATGATGATTTATATACAAAAATTTTAATGTTTGGTAAATTATAATATTAAAAATTCTATAAAATTATTAAAAATATTAATTTAAGTGACTTAAGTCGAATATGTCACAAAATAACTGAATTTTTAAATATTTATCATAGGATTCTCACCAGATTTCCACATAACAGTTAACAAGAAAGAATACAATTACAATGCTGTACCAATTTCAGGTATATCACATAAGTTTTTAAATATAAATAGTTTCTATAGAAGGTCTTTCTCGGAAGAACTCCTGGGCAAATTCCTCAAGTATTTCATCAATTCAATCCAATCCAACTTGATATACTATAATTATAAAACTGCACTTATTTGTTTTAATCGTTTGTTGATATTTATAATTTACATCATAGAAATTAAATAATTTCATTATTTACAGATTTATTTACTTCGGTCGAATTCTTCCTACCGCTGAATGAAGTGCCAGATAATTCAATAGTAGATATGGAATTATTTCACGACACCAAATTTATAAAAATCTGTAAAATTGATTTGTTACGAGTTACAGGTTAAATTTTTAATTTTTATACCAGTAAAATTGAATTTTTTTATCAAATAATTAAATTATTTTATTATCATTTATCAAAATTACAATAAAATATTAAGTATATAGTTAGGTTAATAAAATCAAGTTCTTTTTACTTATAGTTAACAACATTAATCCATCGAAGCGTGAACATGAAGGTATGTAATTTTAAATCTTATGTTAAAATTTTTATTTATAAGTTGCCGTTTTACCTTTATAAAAATAAAATTTCCAAAATTATTTTGATTTACAGACTTTAATCTACGTAATACAGCAATTAAAGATAAAAGTCCGGATGAAATAGGAATGTCTGATGATAACAACGACGATGATATATTGAAATCTGAAATAAATATTGAACAAGCTAATGATCCAATATTCGACAGACAATTTTCAAAAAATTCTGATATTGCTGATACAGAATGGTATAAAAAGTTTATAAAGACAAGTACGAGGAGACCACCTGCTGGTGCTGCTACAGAAACATATGAAGAAAGTTCGGAACCATCTATTAATGAAGAAGATATAAACGAATAGTAAAACCAAATGTATCCTTCCTTGATGACATAGAACTCGACGATATGACAACATGGTCGAAAGTTTCATGTAATAGTTATTCTGTATAAACAGATGTAGATAGGACTTTAACAAAGAGAAATCAAATTAAATTAGGTAAAATTATTTTAAATAAGGTGTAATCAAATTACTTGAACGTAACCATAGTGGTTATATATTTATTTTTGACGATTCAAAAGATTGAAGATATCGATTTACAGTGCAGAAAATAATGTTTTACTTTGTTCTGAACAATTACGTTCCCGGCTCTGTTATACTGTGTATACCAGAGGGAAAGTATGGAGATCGGTCAAAAAATGACCCCGAGATTTTTACAATTTTGGCCTGATGGGTCCTTGAAACGTTTAGAAATGCAAAATATTTGGTTGTTTTCTGTATGCATGGATGTGTGTCTATGTGTGTGGGTGTGGGCGCACGATTTCGTAATAACTCTCGTGGCTCTTGTAAATTTCTGAAATTTTGCAAGAAGATTTGTGTATTAGGGAGATTAATACCGCTAAATTTTGGTAGTTAAAAGTAGAGGGTTTTTTTAAAAAACTCTTCCCGCCCTGTGGGCACTAAGAGGACCTCTTTTTAGCAGGCACATTATGGGTTCGGCCAGGCCCACAATGGGGTGACCGGGTGGTGAGGGACTGGACCCGACATAATAGTCGAGGGAGTAGGGGATGAAGAATCGCATCTAATAGAGATTTTATTCGTTATTAGCGTTTACAATTTTTTTAAATAAAACTCATACTTGCCATTTTATAATAATTAATTATATAAAAAGTTTTTAAATAAAATATCATAACAGATGGCATCACACGCAGTTTTAATTGTTGCCGGGAAAGTTAAGCAATTCGTTGCTGGATTTTTCGTATTCGTATTGTCAAGAATAATCTATGAGACTTATCCTTTCCAGACTCGTGCTAATTCATCCTACTGTTAGTCAGGCTCACTCGTAATAGGAATAATTAGTGTCGGTCTGGCCATTCGATTAATCAAACAATAGAACCAATCGATCGGTCATCAATCATTCGGCTTTCGGATAAATAGATATATTTTTAAAATTATTTGATAAATTATTTATTTATCTTTCATCACAGTTACAGTTTATTGTTACAGTATGAACGGATCGATTTCATATTATAATTTGAAATGTTCCTGTTGTTTAATGCTCTAATATTTTACTCGATAATTGATTTAAGTAAAATTTTATTGTCTAAAATTAATAATAATTTTAATAAATTTAAAAAATTTTATAGGGAATTATTATAATGAAGATTATTTATTGATTAATTCAAAGGGAAATGTGGAAGATCTTAGCAAGAGATGCACTAAACCAGGATCACATTTTTTTTTAAGCTTTTTCTACGATGGAACTTATGATAAATTATATACAAAAATTTTAATATTTGGTAAATTATTATATTAAATATTTTATAAAATTATTTAAAATATTAATTTAAATGACTTAAGTCGAATATGTCACAAAATAAATGAATTTTTAAATATTTATTATAGGATTGTTACAAGATTTTCTCATAACAGTTAAGAATTTTAAGAATAAAGAATGCAATTACAATGCAACACGAGTTTCAGGTATATCCCATAACTTTTCTGAAATTTACTTTAAAATAATCTATATGTTCAAGAGAGCTCTTAGCAAACGTAAATCTGTTTGAGAGAGATGTAAAATGTTTCTACAAAAACATGTAATTATCGGTTGTATAACGTATGTAAACGTGTAACGCCTGTTTTCCAGAAAGAATTTTATTTCACGTGATACACTCGAGTGGATAAAACTACTGAACACTAGTAGTTGTCGCAGCTTTGTGCCTGATTAACATACTTGCCACGTAAGGTTTTCGAGGTTTTCACGTGTGTAACANACTATATGAGTGAGATGGGATTTCTCATTCGTAACGATTTTATCTCGGTTAATGTACTCGTAATCTTCTATATTTCCCGTAAAGAAGTAACGATAAGGAACATAACTCATTTAACAACGAAGAAACATAAATTTTTATTCTTTAATTGTGTTACATAATGCATTTCAATGACCGAGTGCCACTGAAAACTAATAGTTGTTCGCGGGTTCGCCCTCATCAACGGCTGGCTAAAGGTTTCGGCGATCGTCAAAATGTTCAACTCGTTTCTTGAACACATTGTATTAAATATTGCAGCACTAAAAATTTCGTCTTTATATAAAAGAAATTAAGGATGCTGCTTAGTAGCAGTATGCGTAGAGGAATCAATAAAACGTGTAAAATAAAAATTCGTGGAATCCTGAATGATGAGCATAGTAAGTATATGAAGTTTCTGCACTAATTCTAAATTTTCTCACTCCGAATAACGAATTAGACACCTCTTTCTGTTTTTGGCTTTTTCCACCCTGTGAGTACTAAGAAGGCCTTTTTACTGTTGTTTTTCGATCCGTTAGAATTTGATCCCGAGTTTTCCAGAGCGATAGTCTATCACCATAACCACTCGCCATCCGGCTGTCAAATTACACACGTAATCAAAACGAACAGTTTGAACTAAATATTTGCGCTGAAGCTCAAACTGCGAACTTACATATTTTAAACATTAACCGAGGTTCAAGCTGTTTAATATATGTTATATTTTGTATTAATATATGTTTAAAAATAAATAAAATTATTTAGTCAATGATATTCGATAACTTACATTTGAAAAATAAACAGTTAATTTTGAAAATAGATTATATTTGATGTCAATTCTAATAAATCACAGAATTTTTGTTAATTGATCTATTTGTTTCTGTAAACACTTTTCTGCCGATCGAAATAGGAAAGAAACATGAAAATTTTCAATATTTTCAATGTTGCAATCAGCTTATATTTCATAATGAATATTGTACTTGTGTTCACCAAACTACACGATAAGTTTATGACCTTTATATAGCAACATTTATTTGATATTTTTAATTAAATTTAATCAATAGGTTAATGTAAATAATACGCAGAATGTTTAACCATAAAAATATTAGAAAAGTAAAGTTTTATTTCTGTTCATACATTTAAAAATGAAACTTTTATTTTACAATTCTATGCGAATAAATTGTATGTAAATTTAAATTATTAATCAATTTAACGAATAACGGTCAATGTGTTAAATTTCAGTTTGTCAATTAATAATACAATAAAACTTAAAATTTAACGACATTATTTTCTTGCCTCTGAAATTGGCACGAAATCGACTGTGAAGCTAAACTGAAGTAAGGACATACAGTAAAGACTATATTGTATATAGTAATTAAGTTACATTTAAGTTTAACTGACATTTAAGTTACATCCAGAATCCTCAGCAGTATATGTACAGGTACAGCTCATTTCACGAATCTTGACAGGAATGTAAAAAAATGCACAGTAGCAGAGTAATGTTTGACAAATTTGTGACAAATCCATGGTGCATTAGGAAAAAGATGGTCTTGAACTTTACAAGACTTTCAGAGCTCCAACCGAGTATTGCTAACGCCACAACTCATAGCCCGTGTAGAAGTGTATGACGGCATCGAGTCCAGGCTGTCATCGTTAATTACAACCTAACACGTTATAGACAGATTGTATTAAACGAAAGTTTCTACATACTAAATTTATGATCATATAAGTAATATAAAAATATTTTTAAAACAGTTATTACAACGAAAGAAAGCTCTTCACATAAAATAACAAATCTGTCGTTTCGAATTATGGGGTTTGTAAAGAATAATATTAATAATTGGACTACAATTTGAAACAATTGTAGATCTATAAATTCCCACTGTCGTCTCTGTCTGTGTGTTTGTCTATATGTCCTTCCTTAATCTCGAGAATGGTGTCAGATAGATAAAAGTCGAGACGAGATATGGAAAGCTTAGAGACAGGAGGCTCGATTAACTATATACATTTGGGCCGAAAGTTACGTTATTTTAATTCAAAAAATGTTCTTCTAAACGGAGTTAGAAAAACATCCTGCATGCCTTAAATGTCAACAGTGAAATATAATGTACTGTGATTAGACTCTACTAAACTGAAGTTTATTGTAAAGAAAAATTGCAGCCCGGTATTGTGACCGTATCGCAATAAATAATTGTTCGTAAATTATAATAATATTTTAAGAACACGGTATAATTTAATATTAATTATTGAAATAGATATCACTTTATGAGTTTATGATATAAATAAAAAATTTACGGTAAATATACTAATTGAAAAGAAACATGTGACTTCCTGTCCAGACCGAAAGTTCGTACATAGTTGATCGGGGTCTCTGGCCCGTAAACTTTCCACGTTTGGTCTCAATTTTCATTTAATCCATTCTCGAAAGTAAGAAAGGAAAGACGGATACGTGAACAGTGGGGATGTATAAGTCTACAATCTTTTCAAATTGCAACCGAATAATCTTATTAAAAGAATATATATAAAGGCCAAATATATAAAATAATATATATATGCAATCTATATATACTGTATACTGTACATATAATATGTTATTTATTTGGTCTTTTGTTAAATTATTTACATTCTTATACATAGTTAAGTTTTTAAATTGAAAACCTATACATTCCTACTGTCGTCCGTCTGTCAGTCTGTCTTTCCTAAATCTCGAGAATGGAGTTACATAGATAAACACGAAACCAGATATGGAAACATTAGGGCTGCAGACCTCGATTAACAGTATAAGAATATCCGAAGCAAACCGGAAGTCAAGTTATTTCAATTCAAAACTTTTCACCTGAAAGCAGTTAATAGATGACCGGCACGACACTATTGCTAATGGAAAAGTGTTATGTACAGGGACAAATCATTACTAATTTGAGATGGAAAGCACATATTTTAAATTAAATAAATTAAAAATATGATTAAAAATTGCAGCCTGCATTGTGACGAAGTCAATAAATAATTTATCGTTTATTTTGTCTTCAAATAAGATAAGAAAAGATCTCATAAACTTTAACTGTTAATAGTAAAATATTTACATTAAGTACGTTATTAATCTCATAAGAATGACATTAATAACTTTTAAATATTGTATTCTATTCCTAAACAAATTTGTATTTTTCTGATGGTGTCCATTTTGTCTAAAAGTAATAGCTATTAACATAATTTATAACAGGCAATTTTTTAATATTTTGTTATACTTTTTTTAATTGAGGATAATAATAAACATAATTTATTTTATTCTCAACAATTTTAAAATTCATCTTACCCTCAAAGGTCATCTTACCTCAAAGGTGAAAGGAGAACATAAGTTCTTTAATAGCCTACTTATTAACACATTTCTGTTCTTATCTTTTCCTCAAATTTATGAAATTATTATAAAAAAAAAACTACATATTTTAATATGTAAATATTGTGCCATCTGTTATGATATTTTATTTAAAACTTTTTGTATAATTTATATATATATATAAATGAATGTATGTGTGTGTGTGTGTGTGTATCCTTCATGCATTACCACACCGTTTATCCGATTGCCGTGAAGCTTTGAGAAGTTGTTTAATATACTCCCGTGAAGGTTTGTGGCGTAGTACGATTGTCATGAAGCTTTGGGAAGTTTTTTAATACACTCCCGCGAAGGTTTCTGGCATTTACCCTACGATAGATGGCGCGCGTTTACACGAGCATTCGAGCACAGTGTGTTCAATCGATTTCAAATTGTGAAGACCATTTCCCCCCTCCAAAAAATATCTCTATGTATTTATTTTTTA